AAAAAAAAAAGAATCAATGTTGATGTATTTTCCTTGAAATTAAGAAAGGACAAGCATAAGAATAGAGTATGGGTTATACTTTGCCCCTCTGGAGTAAAGCATTTGTTTCACCCATGGTACGAAGATGTTCGATCAGCTCCAGAGCTACCTTGAATGGAAATAGTGAAAATCGGATATTTATACTTATCGAACACAAATTCAAGATTTAATCCTAAGTCAACAGTCATGATGAATAAGCAAACCAAAAAAAAAAAAGAGCTGCATTAGGCTGATTTTATGATAAATTAGTTTGTGCATATAAAAATGAAAAAGCTTATGCAGGCCTTTTTTTGTTTAGATCAGGTTGGAAAATCATCATGTCAGAAGCAATATATCTAACCGCTGTTATATTTCACAGTATATTCGTCAACGTCAACTCCAGGAAGAGTGAAGCCTGCCCTAGTCAGCAGATTCCCTGCATCTCGTACCTAAACGACCAAATGAACGGCATTCTAAATAACAAGATTGATGAAATTGTTTAATTTCTTAAAAGTCTGGCGAAATTCCCAACTATTACCATAATACTTAAATAAATACATCTAACGATTCATTTTATTGGCGGACCACCATTATGAAATGGCTCCAGCTGGAGTGATTACTAAAGTACACATAAGAAAGACATTAATGATTATTTTGACTCTCAAACTTTCACCTGATACCGCAGAATTTCTTAAGAAGTACCTGAGCCAAGGGCGACATCCGAGGACTGATGCCTCCTTCACGCTCCATTTGTGCTACTGTGCATGCTATTCTCAGTTCTCTGAAAGGAAAAACATTTGGACCTTTAACGAAGTGCAAATAAATCAAAAGGTATCATCTTTAGTTTTGTAGGTGTAACCTTAAAGTTTCTCCACCCAGAATAGCTGCCAAAAACAAGCCGTCGGGCTTGAGAGCCAATCTACTCTGCCATACGCATAAAAACAAATTATATCTTCGATAATTGACTGTGATGTTTCTCATTTTTATTTGAATCAGCAAAAGCAGAGAGAAAAAAAGTTAAAAGAATAGACAAGTTGAATACAGAGAACGAACAGGAACCTGAATCATGGCTCCTGGAAGATCATTAGTCCAATGAAGTCCCAAGCTACTAATAACCAGGTCGACGGAGCTAAACAAGAATGAAAAAGAAAAAATTCAAACTGGTAATGCCTTTTGTTTAACAAGAGATGTACAAGGTGCTATAAACTGCAAGATGCATAAGTTCAGTTCATATTATGCATACCTTTCCTTCACGGGTAGAAACTCTTCGTCACCGATAATGAAAGATGTTTCGACATTTTTGTTAGGTGATAGTTGTTCGTTTTCTTTACATAATTTCACCATGTCCGGTGAAGTGTCCATCATTATAAGTTTTTCTATGCCACCTGAATAGGAAATATACCCCCGATTATTTACAAGTTAAAATCCTTAACGCGAGCTTTTGGCCCTTTTGTATTTTGTCTTTACTCTTTGAATGGATATTACAGTCACATATACATTAATTAGCTAGGTCACTATTACGGTTAATAAAAGAAAAGTGAACTTCATAGCTAACTTATTATCGATGATGCATTCCATGTATTTAAGAGCTATCTCTGGACAGGCCATAATACTTAATAATTTTGATACGCCTACATTAACATATAAATGTCGAGAATGATTAATCTCACCTCGTCCATTCAGCAGACGCCTAATTGCTTCCAAGGAACCCCCCATACTTAATGCCGTAGGAAATGTCTTTTTACAGTCCTACGTGGTTAAACATGAGACAAAGAACTCTCAGGGAATTTCTTGAGTTTTTCACACAAGATTCTTACACAATCTTCAAAATCTAGCTGAAAGATGAGTTCGTATGTACGGTGACAACAAAATATGTCAGCCCAGCTAAAATTAAAGAAGGAGAATAACCTCCTTAAATATTGTCACAACCAAGACAGAATCAGCACTCAATTTCTTCCGAGTCAAATAGCAATGATTAGACACATTTCTTTTTACATTGTTTTGAGAACCCAAGGACTCATTCTCAATTGTGCGGATATGTAAAATACAGATTTCCAATCCTAGCACGAAAGGAAGGGAAACAGATACTAAATTTAAAGTGAGTAAACAGAATTCCATACTCGAATCTCATTGATCAATAAGTGATTCACTAATACGCCGGATAAGAGTCTGTCCCCAAACAGTTTGATCGGGACCAGATTCAAAATGTCGCTACTTTCTGCAAATTACACTAGAAAAGGATTTGCGGGGCAATCTTGCCGGACCATCATCAAACTACACTGTGAACGAAAGCTGAACAATGATAAAGAATGCACATTGTCACACACTTCTCCTTAGCTGCAATAAAATGGAACACGAAATCCCACTCCTATCTACACTGCTACTTGTCGAACCAACTATAAAATTAATTCAAAATCTTCCTAATGAAGAGCTACCAGCTCAGTTAAAAGCATAAACATGTAAAAAAAAATAAATAAATAAAAAGGAAAAAACACAGCCAAATTCAGGAACAATCGCTAGCTCAAAAACAATCATCACTTAAATTTACAACTAGAATCACCTCCAATCGATCGAGTAAATTCTCAGCCACTGCGTCCTGCAAAGAATCATTCGGACGCATCAACCACGCAGCTCTATCTCGCTGTACCCAGTGATCGTAGTTACCAAACAAGAACAAAGAGAGAAGGTTAGGTAAACTGAAAGGGCTAAAAATAGACATTCTCACATTCAATTTCATGTACATCGTAACGACGAAGCACGGAAAAAAAAAAAAAAAATGCAGCTAGAAGAGTATTGTGATTGAGCTCTGAACCTGTTTGCGCTTGAGATTGCGATCGAAGATTTTGACTCTTGAGCTTTGGTCCGTACAATAGAGTCTACTGTCTCTCCATATGGCACTGTTCAGGCGTCTCCGGCAAAGGCCTCTGGCAGCCATCGTTTTCCGGCGGAAGAAAATCCGGTTGTCCCGAGTTTGATCTTTTTCTTTTTCTTTTTTTTTTTTTTCGTTTCCCGATTGAGTAATTTCAGTGATGAGAGGGAAGAAGCAAATTAATGGGCTATTTATTGGGCTGGACTGTTATAGGCTCTTTTAGATTAGGTGTATTTGGGCTTTCTTAGGCCTTGCTTTATTGAAACTCTTGTCCACAAAAAGGGCCCAGCATGAAAATGTGTGTGCGTGATATATATATTTTTTTAGATTTTTACATACAATATCTTAAGCCAAGAAGGAAAAGTCGTACATCTTCCAAAAGAAATGAGAATTTGAAATCGAAGAGCATCCTTCCTTGATCATTCCTAGTGATTCCACGGATACCAAATCTCTCCGTTTTCATGTTGACACAAGCATCCACATCAAGTCGGACTGAGTTTTAGGGTGGAGGCTTCCAGCTAAAATTATTCTTATGGTCTTGTGGTAACTTAGACTTACGGCTATCACTGAAGCGATTTGAAAAATTCAAATTAAACTCTCGACATCTTCCACGTGTTGAATGCACTCTTTTGGATTAGGGTGGTGAATAACTCTCTGCTTTTATTTCCAAACAAGTCAAGAATGTACTACTGCAAAAATTTCAAATTTCTCTCGAAGACATGTTAGTTTGCATCCAAACACACAGATCCAACGTAGAGCCGAATTTTACTGATTTAAAGAACGGGTAGAAAATGTAGTTTTTCCACAGTGGCAGCACATGGGGGCAGAAAAATATTGAATGTGTGGATGAATCACAATAGAACTTGCATAGCTTACATCCGAAAATAATAGGAATGCGGTGGTTTGCTAAATTTTGAGCTGATGGAATAAAGTTATATATTTTTCCACCCATTTCAAGTTAGTAATCTTACAATTTAGTAAAACATTTTCATAGATCTTGTTGTGATAAAGAAATTCCTCTATCTGTTTTTTTTTTTTTTTAAACTTTTACCTTATTAATATCACCAGTCATATGATAGTAATATAGTTGTAATTCCATGGAAATTAATTAACATGTATGGTCAATGTTTAAATGCAAATTGCCTGTTCTTTTTTTTTTTTTTT